TGTGATGGTGGGGAGGCTGATTCCAACAGATTTCTGTGCAGCCTTCATAACTTTACCTAATGGAAGCATATATAAGGAAAAGAGTATTGATCCAAGCACTGAACCCTGAGGAACTCCATGACTAATTGGTGTATGAACAAGATTCATTATTTACATTTACAAATTGGAATCTATCAGATAAATATGATTTTAACCAATTTAGAGCATTTTGATTACAAAACAGTTTAATGTAAGATCATAATGTCATGGCGGATCAGTGTAGAAAACTCTTGTTATTGCAGTAGCATAGCCAAAAACTCATTTTCCCCTTCTCACAACAAATTAGGAAGTGTGATTTAGTGAATAGCTTCACTCTTTTCTTGCAATTATTTCTAAATGCTGTTGACTTTTTTTGTTGGTATACAAGTTTAGTACAGATACAGGAAACGCATCGTTCATGTCCTGAACCTGTTTGTTTTCTGGCGCTTGTAAAGTGTGAACATCCAAGCAGAAAGTCCAGACCCTACATCAACTTGGCGCTCCCTCATTCCCGTCATCAAAGTCAACATCAGCACTGTAAGTGTCTCTGAATCTCAGCTCAGTTCTGTTGGATCTGGTGAGGACAGACAATGGAGATCCATGCTGAATATTTTTAATGCAGTTTGCTTTGTTTGTTTTTCTCAAAGGGACGGTTGGCGTTTGGAAACCACCACCTTCCTCAGACTTTGTGCGTAAACTTTGACGATGCCTTCCTGACGTACGCCACCAAGCCTCCCTCCAGCCACCTGGACCAGTTCATGCACATCGTCAAAGGCTCTCTGGAGAACGTGCGCGTCATGCTGGTGCCTAGTCCCCGCTACCTGGGCTTACAGAACGACGAGTGAGTTCAAGTCGCTCTAATCCGTTTCATTTAAAAATACACAATTACAAATTAAAATCAACGTTTATTTATATCAAAGTGAATATTGTTTAATATATTAGACTATAAAGATTTAGGATTTCTCAGTTGGAAATGTGTGAACATCATCAGGAAGGAAATTTGTTTTCCAAAAGCATTTTTACAAAGAAAATTCTCATCCCAACAATCATAACTCCAAATTATATTGTGCTTATTTCATAAGAACATCATAATGACTGCAGACAAATTAATTCTTAAGCAGCGCTCTCATATTTCTTATTTATTTTTAGATATGCATTTATTCATAGTGTGAAACTTAAATATAGACAGGCAGAAAACTCACTGTGTGCTCGTTTAAACAAACAAAAAACATTTAAAGCTATTGTCCTAAAATTATTAGTATATTCACAAAGACTTTTTTGTGCACTGAATATAAACTAGCTCTCCTAAAGGTTAAATATCAGAGTTGAGCTTTCTGAATATTTAATTTGGGCTTTGATTGTGTATTGATCTGTTAGAGCATGCAGATTTCTGCTTCTTATTTTTACTTATTATGACATTAAATACTGTGTATAAAATTCTAACTTTTCTAATTGTATTTTTTTTTTTTTATCTAGACCTCCCAGACTGATGGGTGAAGGCTTTGTAGTGATGCAGTCAAACGATGTTGACATCTACTATTACCAGGATGAACCGGGTATGTTCATTCATGACGCATCACACATGATTAAATTAGACCCAGCTCTTGTTTTTGAAACATTTAGCACCACAGCTGATACTCTGTTGAAGTTTCATGTTTATTTTTAAAAGCGTCCATGTTTCTTTTGTTGCTATTGTCTGTTTCTGACATTTCACCATGTCTTTCATCCAGGTCTTGTCCCTGCGAAGCAGGAGAGCCCTGAGGAAGTGGAGACGAGCAGCGAGGGCGATCAGCTGCAAGATCTTCCGCCGTGTTGGGGTCTCGACATTGTTTGTGGAAAAGGAACCGATTTCAACTACGGACCCTGGGCAGATCGCCAGAGGTGATCACAGATTCTGTCTTTATCCGTGTTTAGCATTATCAGTTCTCTTGATCTTATCACAGATGATTCAGGGGTAGAGGTGGTGTAAATCTATTTTTAGATGCGTTGCATAGACGGTTCCCAATCGATCTTTAAATGTCAGCAATTGATTTTGACAGGGTTAACTTGTGCTACCATTTGAGAGTCAGCAGAGTTCTAGCTGCGTGGTACGGTTTGTCTTAGTATGTAGCTTCCTGTAGTAGAAACTTGTATTTTCACATCTTTTTCCATCTTTCTTGGCTGAACCCAGAAGAATTAATGTCTCTAAATATTAGCTGATGTTATCAGAACACGACTATCTTAAGTAAAGACTTTGAAACCTTTGATTTGTATATAAATTTCAAGCGATTAATGTGCTAATAAGTACGTTAGATTTTTTTTATGACATCTTTTTTACATTAAGTTAGCATCAATGCTAATTGTTGGTCAGCAGCCTATTATTGTTAGAGGTTTTCTAACATGTAATATTGTGCACTCTTTATTATACATTAAAATATATGATTAGATGGTAATTTATGTTTGAAAAGTCAAAGTCATTTCAATTAGTAAATTTTATTATTATTTTTTTTTTAATTCATCAAAAGTTTACCAGCTGCCTCCTGAGGTTTATTCACAGATAATCAAAATGCATCAATAATCATTTTATAATCACATTTCAGCCATCAGAATCATGAAGTGCCTCATATGTCACATCCACAACTAGAATGTTTATTTTTTTATAATTTATATTCTATAAAGATGTGAAGATGTGTTAACTTAGCCGACTTGTTAAACTTAAAGCTAATAAATGTGTAACTAACGGAATCATCACATCTGTAGTTTTACAAGAAAGAAAAAAACTATTTGAATTGTGTTGTGGATGTTTTAATTAGCATGTTTTGTATTTGATTAAGTGTCCAGTCTGTATAAATACATTCACTAATGGGTAATTCTAACTATGAGAGAGAAAATAAAGTCAAAACAGGATTGTAGCTAATGGTGGAAGTTTGCTGAAAGGCAGTTTTCAGGTTCTGGCTGAACTCTTTTTGACGATCGCAACCTTTCCCTCGCCTCCGAACAATTGATAGTTTAAAAATGTATAAGAAAATGTAAAAGATAATCTGCTTTTATCTCCACAGAAATGCAAAACATGTAACAAATAATCTATTATTTAAACTTTGGATTGACTCATTTTTATATTTTTAACTTGTCAGTTTATTTGAAGGTACAAGCCAAATAAATGTTTGTATGTTTTAAAAACTACAATATTCTAAATTCTGGATGATGATAAAATTTGATTTATTTTTTCTCCTCTCTGAGGGATTGTCTGTGGAAGTTCTTTCTGCCTGCCGATTACCAGCCCATGAAAGTGACCGAGGCTGCCCAGCCAGGAAAACCCCGACAGATCCAAGCCTTCGAACTCCGCATGAACATCATCGCTGACGCCACCATCGATCTGCTTTTCACCAAGAACAGGGTGACTCTTCTTTCTTTCTTTCTTTCTTTTTGTTTCCTTCCTTCTTTTTTCTTTCTTTCTTCCCTCCCTCTCTCTCACACACTTTTTCATCCCTCCCTCCCTCCCTCCCTCCCTCCCTCCCTCTCTGTCTCTCATACACTTTTTTCCTTCCCTCCTTCCCTCCCACTTCATTTCTTTATTTTTTCTTTCTTTCTTTCCTCCCTCTCACACACACATTTTCTTCCCTCCCTCCCTCTCTCTTGCTTCCTTTCTTTCTTTTTTTCTTCCCTCTCTCTCTCTCTCTCTCTCTCTCTCTCTCTCTCTCTCTCTCTCTCTCTCTCTTTCCTC